CAATCACATATTTGTATATCCTAAACAGGTTTGCCACGAAGTTTATAACACCCACTAGGAACCTGAAGCGTGACGAGCGATATCCTTCTATTCGTCTGTATATATAGATATCGACCTGAACTTTCGCACACCCATATTTTCTCCCAAGTTCTTCTAGGGAAAATTTTTATTGGTGAAGGGTATTATAGCTTCCGTCCATTGTTGTATTCTCCACTTGGTTTATCCATCGGAAAGACGACAATCTGTAGCTCTGCTATCACCGGAGCACGTTTAGGAGCTATATATTCTACATTCATTCGAATGATTCGTCCTAACTTTAATTCTCTTATATATAATCTAATAATATATATATATATATTTATATATTATGTATATCGTCATAAACTCTAAAAAGGTGCAGCAATATTCTCAGCATCTCATTTTAAGACCCATGCGAACGGGAATACATATTTTTATGCTCATCGAGAAAGAAATTTACTTTTCATATTCGTACAAAATAATACTTCTTATAAGCTCGATTCTACGTTGGACTCCAATTCCGACTTTTTTTCGATGCTTAGCTGGTACCCAGATTACCTACAAATAACTCCAAAGTAACTGGAAGGTAACTTATAAGCCAGGCCGTAAATATGCTGGCTATTTATTTGATGACCGCACACCTTGGAACCTGAAAAGAAATAATCAAAATCAAATGTTGCTTTACCATATACAATCTATATTTCAGAGTGCTCTTTTGTTAACTGTTGTATGATCTGATCTGATGATGCTTCGTTAAACGAATAAATGTCTCTAGATTTCCTGTCAGATCTTATAAACCTCAAACTTAAATGTGTAGTAAGACTAACTTTTTCATTTCTATTCAGTCCCTTCTTTGGCATGTGTTTTTAAGTCTTCATTATTGAATTATATATATCATCATACATACATACATATGTACATATATACTCTGTTAAAGATCGAGACTTATAGAAATGTATATATCATAAGATTTTGTATAGACATTCTGGCGACATAAACCATCCTTTGAAAAACGGAATTCTTCTAAAGATCTTACTTTACATACATATACATTCATATACTGTATGTACATATGTACTATTTATGAATTTATATATGCATACATACATTGAATATGGTTTTCATGTTGGGTTTTAAGCTTCGTTGGGTGCAAGCTCTTTAAAAGTTCATTGACTTATCTAATTTGCTTACAAGTTATGTATACATATGTAATACTGACAACTCTTTCAGCTTTTAAGGAACTTCACCCGATATCCAATTAACTTACTCTAAGCCTAACCGTTCATATTTACATATACACGTCTATATTTATAATTACTTACTGTATTAATGTATTTGTACTGCAAAATTGCAACTAATTTTACTTGTTTTTCTTCCATGTGTCTTGCCATGTTTGGTACTCTCTTTTGCTCTTTTTTATCTCTTTTTCGCTCTCTCGCACCAAACACACACACACACGATCTCTCGTTGGCATACCCATTTTGTACCGTTCCGTTCCGTGCGTGCAAAACCAAAATGTTATGTAATCGTACCAACCAACATCAATAAATATATTTAACGAAAATCTTTCATGTTATCAAACCAAATCGAATACCATTGTCTGCATCAAAACAATACACACATAACCTCAAAAACAAACAACACCAACCGTCCGATTTATGAAAAAAAAAACCAAAGCAATCCAAAGTGACGGACAAATTTAAGCGTCCCTTCCGCAAACGGCACTCCTCCATGCACTATCAACCGACCAATCGCGTCAATCGCTTCCTCTCACAGGCGATAAATGCACGTTCCGTCGATTGCGATAAGTCCGAGCATGTGGATCGCATTACTCTGCGCTTTCGTGAGAGTGACAAAGAGCGCGAATACCGTAAAGATTTCGATTTGGGTTTTACCACCGCCATGGGTTGTTCGCTATTGCTGCTGATTTTGGGTGCAGCACTACAAGTGTCGGCTCTACCACGTACGCTCATCCTCTTGCTACTCTTCTTGACCGCTTTTGTATGGATTAGCGCCATACTGATGTTACTGCTGGCGGTGCGTCTCAAGTGGATTGTCTGGGACTTGGCGCGTAGTTTCACGCTTCGCTTGGCTATTACAATATTCACCATAGTGCTGATCTATTCGGTGGGTCAGGTGAATGTGGTAAGTGTGGGCAGTAAGCTGCATCGTGTCTTTTTTCATTCATTTTCATTTGTTCCATTTATTTATTTCTATGTATATTTTTAAATTTTTCTTTAATTATTTTCGAATAGTTCACTTGCGTCATGGATCATCCTTGTGCCAGTAACGTCACAACACATGCGCCAAGCTTTGAGGAGGACCTGCTCATATTTGCGCACCATAATGAGGCACACCGAAAATGCTCGCTGCCACAGTATGTTTCGCTCTCGGCGACTTTTGCATTTTTGTCAGTTTCAGTATTTTTGCGGTGAGTCTAGTGGTCTCAACTAAGTTTTCTGATATCTAGTATTATAATTACCAAACAAATTTTTTTTATTAAAATACATATGTTTACTGTTATTTCATTCGCAGTTTGCCAATAATATTCAAATCCTTCTTGATATTACTTATGGGCACAATTTATGGACTTTTTATCGAAATGTCGCATATAAATATTTTTGATTGCTATGACAGCAGAGTAAAGTAAGTATATGCATGATGTTTTTTATTTGTGGATTATAATATTATCCTTTTTAACGGTTTCCTCACTTCTGAAAGAGAGTTAACCCAAATCACAATCACTTGCCATTTAACGATGTTATTGAAACTTAATTCTTACTTATAGTCCTTAACATAAAAATTCTATATTGAACCAATTATAAAATAACACTATAGATATGATCCGTCCATCTTTAGATGAAATTTCAAGTCTTCCCAATTACCTAATTTATTTAAACAAAATCTTTCATTGATTGAACATTTCAATAAAATCCTTTGGCGCCATTTGAAGATGGCCAAACTCGGTTCAAAACCCTGCTTTTAACAATTGTAGACCATTTTAAATCCTTTATACTTAAAAAACTCAAGTCATGTAGTACTCATTACATTTGGTAGCTTTCTTTCAAAAGCGGTTATAATTGGTTCGTATCTTATTCGAGCCCCTATACATACAATCTCTCTCTTGGTCGGGTTAGTTTTGCGTGTGAGTATTCGAGATATGTTTATATAGAATTATATATGGTATCAAATCATAATTATCATACCTACAGTTAGGAAGACAAGAGCTAAAGACTTATAAAATAGATCATCTAGCGCTAATTGAGCCCGGGCAGGCTACACTCAAACCTATCTATTGGTCCTTTTTGACCCAAGGTAAAAATATCCAATTTTCTAAATAACTTTTTACTATATGATACTCGAAATGCATCTTCATAAAATCGGCAGAGAAAGTTTTGCCTAACATCTCACGACTTGGCTCAAAAAGATGGATAAATTCGAATAAAATTGTTTCTCTATAATTAATATACTGATGCCAGTAGTCTGCTTAACTTCAAAGAAGATGTAGAATAAGTTAATTTGACGCTAAATTATTATATCAAAAATTTTATGGCTGCCGTGGCAGCGTCTTAAGATGTTGATCGAATTTAGGACCACCACCACAGTGATGGTTTTGAAACAGTATAGATCAATAATGCTTTCTGCATAGAAAGCGTACCTATCTTTTTTACACCTTTGTAAACCCCGTTAAGTCAGTTTGACAGCTAGTTTAACAGATATCCCTCTAGGAAATTGTAT